TGCTACTTGCAGACTTGAAATAGCATTTCCCCATTCATGGAGATGACACCATTATTGTGAGAACAAAATTATTTCCTGCTTATCTTTTCGCAATATTCTTTGGACTTGTCTGAGATTCTGCTTGGTTTATAAAGAGAGGAATTTCCATAGTGGTCCAGGGCACTCTTTGCTTCTGGTTTTCTGTAAGTTTTTGTAAACATGTTTTATATTCAGAAATTTATTAAGCCAGTCAACCTAATGATCCTCATTTTCTCATGATTACTTGTGCCCACAAAATCATTTTCAATTTTATATTTTTTATCAATATTTTATTTATTGTATTTTGGGTTATTGTTTCATATTAAAATAATTTAGCATATACAATTAAGCATGCTAGAGTTAAAAATCCAGTTTAAAGACCTTTTAAAATATTATTTAAAAATTTATTTCCAACATAATATTTCACAAATGTTTTAAGCATAAAATTTATTGATGGATGCTTTATGCTCCTCAGGCAATCAGACAAAATGTTCCTTGGTACATATTCAATATGACATTTTTTAAAAGAAGATAGTTTTTTCACAGTTTTGATACATTGTATCAAAAGACAAAATACTTTTGAAAAATGGCTTTCCATCCCAGATGCAACTATTTGGCACTCACTCATGTGGGACACAATATAAACACTCTTTAGACATAGTTAAATGGTAGAACTCATCGTGCAATAGGGACCTATACATTCATTACTGCATTTGTATTATAAAAAGCAGACACCATCTATTTTTCATCTGTTGGAAAATAGTCCAAACTATTATCAGCTATGTCACAGTTTTATCCCTCAAAGTAAAACCAAATGGATTGAGGTTCCCTCCTGTAATCTTGCTTTGTTACCTTTATATTTTATAGGCCTAGCTCCCTATTGCATTGAGGGGATTCAGAATACTAGTTCATCCTGAGTTCTACAGGTAGTCCTTGACTTATGGCCAGTTGCAGTGTCCCACAGTCATATGATTGTGTGTTGTGGCAATTTTCCCCCAAACTGGTACTTACTGTGTTTCTCCCAAAATAAGACCTGGTCTTATTTTTTTTTTTAATGCCTCCCAAAAAGGAACCACGTCTTTTGGGGGTGTCTTTTGCACTCACCTCCAGCACCGACAGCACCGCCCAGCTGGTCCATTTCTTCTGCGGCCAAAGGAGCAGCTTCATTCTGCAGCTGAGAATGGAGCTCCGGCCTGCATTTCTCAATCAGAGATCTTTTCGGAAGGCCTATGTAGCCAAGAATCAAGCTATGGATTGAATCCATAGCTCAGTACTCAACTACAGAGGCTTTCTGGAAAGACTGTAAATGCAGGCCAGAGCTCCATTCTCAGCTGCAGAATGATGCTGCTCCTTCAGACGCAGAAGAAGTGGGCCGGCGAGGCAAGTGTCGATCCATGGGAGACCTGGCTGTAATGGTAAGCTCCAATCCCCTACCTCTGCCCTAGCTTGATTTTTAGGCCCAAAACTAGGGCTTATTTTTGGGGTAGGATATATTAGGCCCATCCCCCAAAATCAAGTAGGGCTTACTTTTGGGGAAACACGGTACTTCCAATTTTCAGCAAAATCAGCCCATAGAAAACCATTGGTTTCCTTAATGACCATTGTATTCACTTAACAATGTTTAAAAAAGACATAAAATCAGGTCAGTCACATGACCTACCCCTTTTACAATCATTATGACATATGACAGTAATGGTCAGTCTCTATTACAGTCATAAGTCAAGGACTACATGTATTACAGGATATGTGATACCCTGCTGATTTTTGTCCCTAAAAATAGAAAAATTTTGCACAGCAATGTAATAAGGAAAATTACGGAAAAGGTATAACTGTAGAAAACCAGAACAATGGCAAAAATCTGATGTATACCTGAGGAAAAGTTCTATCAGATGTGAGCAAAAAGATGTACAAAAAGAGTCCATGCTAATTCTATTTTAATATCTCTTATGTTTAAAAGTATTTATAGTTAAGATTTATAGATTTTTAAAAATTTATGAACAAAGCAATTCTGCTATGTTACATTAAAATTGGTATGCTAAATATAAGAAAAAAATTCTTGAAAGTAAGCGATACAGATATTAAACAGACAGTAATGTAGCTGCTTCCTTGAACCCCTTTGAAATCTATTCTTTAAAAGAAATAACAGCAAGCACAGACAAATGCAGTGTTGACATGTTGGATTGAGCAATTCTGTGTCTGTCAGCTAATGCTGAAGGAAACTCTTGATTGATTTAGCAGTTCCAGAACTAATCCCTAGAAGTTGTAATGGCTATTGCAGTTCAACAATCAAGAGGAGACCTGCTTGGAAAGACTAAGATAAATCAATGTACTTAAAGGAGTTCTTTACTTTCAGCAAATAAAGCTCATTATTCATTCATTTATTATATTTATATAGGCACCCATCTCACAAAATGTGACTTTATTCCTATATTCATTGAGCTTGGCATTTATTCCTTAGTAAATATTTATATAATTAAGCTTTACGTTCCAAAATAAATAGGATATCTGAGCTCTCATTTTTCTTCAACAGGTTCAGTTCAACTTTACAAGCTGCTTTATTTGCCCAACAGAAAAGTAGAGTGCAAATATATTTCCCACATTATAAGAGTTCTCTAGGTCAAAATCATGTTTTGACTATGTCTGTTGGCTGAGTGATGATCCGAAGCATTTGTCATCATCTGTGACAGCAAAGGAAGTCACAAAATGAATGAGATTAAATACCAGCCCCTGGTTTTTTTAATGTGAACATAAAATAATAAATTACAATGTACATTTTCTTTCCTTTTGTAGTTGAGACATTAATAATCTAAATCATGTTCCCATTTTGCCCTTAGCATATTGTGGCCCCACATTATATAGCTTTGGATGGATCTGTGTAGCTTTCAGGTCCTCAAAATCTGTTAAATCCCTGTGGACAAGCTATTCCTCCTCCTGCTGGGCCTGCAGCAGTTGATAATTACTTAACATAAATTAGGCTGGGAATTCCTATTACAGTTTCCAGGATTATACATTGACTCCAGATTAACAATCTTTGTTTTCATGGTTCCTTGATCTTGCCCAGCTGCATGGAATTTGACAGCAATTTCTGTTTGAGAGGTGACTACAGCATTCCCTTCCAGCAACATCTGTTGAGCGAAATCTATCTTTTCTTCTTTCTCAAGTACAGTAATTTTGATTTCTCATATCCTAATTAGATTGCGTGAACTGTTATCACCCTCCCCCAGAATTCACCTAGCTTAATCAAAACATGTGAAAATCATTAGTAAGATAACCCTACTATCGGCACACAGGTTATAGCATTATTGAGTCCCAATCTCTTTTCTTCACTGTTTATGTTAATCATGTGCTATTGATGTCTCTCCCTTTCTATTAGTAATATATTAATGCCTTAACTTTCTCTTTCTCTTTAATCCCAGAATTTACATCCCCTCCTGCTACAGTTAGTTTCAAACATGTGTCAAACAGGTGCCTTCTTTAAGCCAGTCCAATTGAATGTCCAAGAATTACGATTCTTCCAAGCATTTTCCCCCTCCGCTAACTGATGATGATGAAGTTATCCATTCATTCATGTATGACTCTTGATGATTCTGTGGGCCAGGTCTCTCCACATCTTCTGATTTTGCACTACTTTTTTGAGTTATTTTATGCTCAAGCTGGTGTCAATTTGAGTCCTTCCTTCTCATTAGGTGGCCAAAGTATTTGAGTTTCAACTTCAGGATCTGGCCTTCTAAAGAGCAGTCCAAGGGACTCGCAGGAGTCTTCTCCAGCACCATAGTTCAAAGGCCTCAATTCTTTGGTGCTCAGCCTTTCTTATGGTCCAACTTTCACAGCCATACATTGCAACTGGGAAAACCATGGCCTGGACTATACGCACTTTTGTTGGCAGGGTGATGTCTCTGCTTTTTAGTATGCTGTCTAGATTTGCCATAGCTTTCCTCCCCAGGAGCAAGCGTCTTTTAATTTCTTGGCTGCAGTCCCCATCTGAGGTGATCTTGGAGCCCAGAAAAATAAAATCTGTCACTACCTCCATTTCTTCCCCATCTATTTGCCAGGAATTGAGAGGGCCGGATGCCATGATTTTGGTTTTCTTAATGTTGAGTTTCAAGCCAACTATTGCACTCTCCTTCTTCACCCACATCAAGAGGCTCTTTAGTTCCTCTAATTAGCATGTAGTAATCCTCAGATAAAATTCTTCAGTATTTATTATATGCATGTACGTTTTATGAACTGATCTCTGTCCTTTGAACTTCTTGTGCTCTGCACTGACCAGTGGGATTTTTAAAAAGACAATTGGCTTGTCAAATAATTCACTGGCACAAATGGTAATGCATGTTCAGGCTACAAATACCATGTCACATGGTTTCACATAGTTGGAAGAAAAATGTAGCTTAGCTCAAACGATGCGTATTCTTAATGTGGTCTATATAGGCAGTAGAAAAAGAAAAGTTCTTTCCTTTCTCATCAGTTCAACAGAATATGACAGTTCTAATGTCAAAAGCAGAGTTAATACTCTAAAATTACCTGTATGTATAAATATTAATGTGTACAAGCCCAGCTCGCATGATTGGTCCTTGGATTAAATGTTATGCACCAAGCCTTTGTTCAAATGTTTGAAAAAAGGATTGCCACTACAAGTCATAAAGCCACTTAAATATTTGTGGTAGTCATTTGTAAATTTACATAACATTTATAATGTAATCCAAAATATAAAACTCTTAGTTTGCAGTTTTGTCCACATGACTTAGCATGGGATGGCAATATCTATTTAGTATCAAACATCTTTGGAAAAAATAAATCCACACATAGCCTAAGAATTATTGTCCCATCAAAAAGGGGAGGAAACAGAAAACCAGGGGAAAGAGGGAAAATGTCACTGATTGGTTAAAACAATAACACTTCAGGCTCCCCATTGTATGTGAATTTATTTTAAAACAGGATGCAAGAGCCTACTCTCAGACATATTCTTTCTGTTTTCCTTCCAGATAAACGTGTTGACAACTGGCCTATGATGCAATCTCCTTTTCCCACCTTGATAATAGGCACATTTTACCTCCTCGCTGTTTGGCTTGGGCCGAAATGGATGAAGACAAAGGAGCCTTTCCAGTTTCGCTATTTGTTGATTTTTTACAACTTTGGAATGGTCCTACTTAACTTCTATATTTTCAAAGAGGTATTTCTGCTTTAATGCTGTACATGGATAAGATAGGCCAGTAATTCACATGCAGATATATAAAGATAGCTACATATATGTCTGATTATCTTCTTCTTCTTCTTCTTCTTCTTCTTCTTCTTCTTCTTCTTCTTCTTCTTCTTCTTCTTTCTTCTTTCTTCTTTCTTCTTTCTTCTTCAGTCAATTCCACTGAGTACAATATGTCTGATTGCAAGGGGCTTATATTTAGGACTATAGCCAGATTTGCTATTTCTCAACTTATGACCTATTGCTTAATCACCATACAAAATTCCAATGGACATACCTAGGAGACACTTACATGGATTTGAAGTTCTGATGTGCTCCCCACACACCACAGTTCAGGCAGTTGGCTACTAAGCCACATTTACAGTCACTTACAGCATTCCTCAGTCACATGACTGTATATTACAACAGTTTTGCTGAAAAATAGCATTTACTTCCATTTTTGGCAAAACCATGCCCATAGCAAATCTTTGGTTCTCACTTAATTACCACAGCGTTCACTTAATGATTACTGCAAAAAATATAATAAAATCACATCATTCACATGACTGATCCACTTTACAACCATCATAAATTATGGTTAGGATGAATAGGCTCCATTACAGTCATAACTCAAGGACAACCTATACTTGTGACCAGTGCTGGGATTCAAATATGTGAACAACTGGTTCTCTGTGTGGATACCACTTCCGGAAGTCCATTCTGGGCCTGGGCAACAAAAAATTAGCTACCGGTTCTGCCAAACTTGTGCGAACTGGCTGAATCCCACCACTGCTTGTGACTCATTATTTCAGATGAAAATACAAATATTTGGGCAGGTGGATGTCTCTGCATTCAGTTATTGATTTCATTGAAATTGTTGGGTTGAATGCAGGAGTGTGCAGACTTGAAGTTTGTGAACTGTCTTCTTACTGCAGAGGGCAATATTACAGTAAATTCTTTCAATAACGCCCATTCGAAACTCAGGAGCATGCATGAATTATTTAGCGCCACCAATTATGTCAACTCATGACATGATTTGTTTGGTTTTAGCTTAGCACAGTTACATGAAATAAACCACAAACTATGATAAACTAGAATTATATGAGAATTAATTTCCTAAGGTTTCATCAACAAACCCTGGTTGAGGGTAACAAAATATAGTGTGTAGTATCAGATCTGTAACAATATTCCAGCAGTATTTTTATTTGGTACATTCTTATACCAAAGCAAAGTATAAGCAGACAGTGCTTGTAATTGCATCTTGCAGAGTAGGCAAAAGCATAACAAATTTGTCTTCACTTGGAACCAGACATCCTGAGCCACCTATCTGAAGAGCAAGTGGCTCTCAGCACTCCATTTTCTACCAACTGAGCAGGCAAAACTAGGGCTGCTCTTAATCTTCAGCATTAAAAAAAAAATATCCTGCCTGACTCTTGAAAGAAATATTAGATAATTAAATGTTTAGATAATTAGATGTTCATCATGGGTGTTTTTTTTTTAAATGAAGTGATAAACAATCATTTTGGAATGTTAATATCAATTTTTGGTGAAGTTTTTTTGTCTTTCTTCTTTTCTTTTTTCCACCAAGACTCCTGACATGTTTTTATTTGTTCTAAGCCTTTTATGTGGTGGCAATAAAAGGAACTAACCATACACATATGAGTCACATTTAGAACCAGCCCCATGAGATGCCCCTCCAGACATGTGAATTGCTTAAAGAGCCCTTATGACAACATTTACAGTATGCTGAATTGACCCTGAGTAGCAACAGGGGGAAGAATCAGTCATGAACCGGTGGTTCAGTAAACCAAATTGTTTCTATTCTCTGACCATATTTCAGAGGTACTATAGCTAACATACTAACCTAATACAAAGGGGTAAATAAAGAGGAGGTCACCCAGATAGGTTTATCAAAAACAGTCCGGTATTTGGGCCTGTATAATGAGACAGGTATGATCCCTCACTGAGACATTACACGTCCAGTTTTATTGCAGTGATTACTACACACCATCCTTCTAAATTATTGATGTGAAGGTGAGGCTGCACTTCATCACAGAGCATTAAGAAGCTTACTTTTGCTCAGATCCTGTTACAGCAGTAATGCTCTTTCTGCTGAGCAATCTGGACATGGGGGGAAGGGCTATGCCAAAGGAACAAGTTGCTTAAAGCACCCTTTCTCAACTTGCTGCCTTCTAGAATTCAGGAACTTCCCAGAAGTTAAGACAGGGATTAGCAGTATTTTTCAGGCTAAAGGACCTGCTTGATTTTTGAATGGTATGCTAAAAGCCACTTCCTAAAACTGTGAAGGACCAGGAGAAGGAATATGGTTACGACAAAAACTTAGATTTGATTTGGTTTGAATATAGACAGACAGACAGATCTAATCTCACACACACACACACACACACACACACACACACATATATATATATATATATATATAAATTCAAGTAACATGATTGTTGGCTTAAGGTATAATACAAGTGTTAAAGTGTTAGCATTAAAAGTCTTTAAATGGCTTAGAAACTGAACTGCCACAGAGTAAGGATTGCATTTGGCCACTAGTCTCTTTTGCCTCTGATAGCTGCTTTTTTCAATCCAATAAAAGAGAATATTTGTAGTTCAGGGTTAAAATGAGGGGTCCTTGGTGCTCACTGAGCTTGGTTGTTTTCTTGGAGACGTTTCATTACCCAAACTAGATAACATCATCAGTGCTGTCAATGCTACCCAGTTATCTAGTTTGGGTAATGAAACATTTGCAAGAAAATGACTAAGCTCAGAGAGCACCAAGGACCCCCTTTTTTCCAATCCTTTGAATGCTTCCACTTGTGTTTGTAGGCTTTTATTTGAGGTATTCTTTCTTTTGTGGTAATAGTTGTGAGATGCTTTACAGTGGAATAGAAAAAAACAAGTTAAATGAATAAATAACATACATTTCATATTCTCTCACCCCCAAAAACTTTGTGATGGCGCTCCATTGGACCTCCATAGGGATTGGGTACCCCAGATCAAAGGAAGCAGCCTAGGACTTATGGGGCACATTGATCTTAAATCAGCCTTTGAGAGGAAAAGGAGAGCAGAAATTTAAACTGACACTTTATTAAACAATGCTAGTTAGTTTAGAAAAGTTATTTTTAAGTAACAAATTTTTGCAATATTAATTCGTGAATTCCTACTTTCAGCTGTTTTTGTCATCAAGAGCTCGGGGATACAGCTATATCTGCCAGTCTGTGGATTACTCAGATAATGAATATGAAGTTAGGGTAAGTAGCAAAAATAATTATTTGTATATCACTTAAATTATTTTTATAGGTTAATATTACTATGTCTGTTTCTGACCTCTAGTGAAAAACTATTTCAGCATATAGATATTGTAAGAGCTACGCTACATGTTACTTTCAAGAAGTTTTTACAAGTGTGTTTAAACTGATCACTTTATTTTAAAGAAACATGTAGGACTTTTAAAGAATTGAGATTCTTTCCTTGTTTCCAGCCATATCTCCTCCCATTTCTCCCCTACCCCTCAATTTTAAATTTTAAATTATGCTCCCTATCTTTTTCTATAAACTTCAAATTGGTTTAAATACTATGTAAGAAATTCTATGAAACAGATAATGTCCTGCTTCTGGAAGTATGCATTTTTATGGTTTAGAAACAAATCATATCCCCTGTACTAACAAACTGCAAGTTAATGCGTGTAATTTAAGAGGTATGTCATCTAAATATTATCAACTGGAAAAGTGGAAAATGTCTCTAATATAATTTATTTTGCAACCAAATAACATTTTCTTATTATCGAAGGCAATTTGCATTAGCCAAGAAAGACAGTCCTTAACTTACATTAATTTAAGTTATCAATGTAGCAACCATTCAAAATTACAACAGCACTAAAAAAATGATTTACATCCAGTCCTCACATTTATGACTGTAGCAACATCCTCCTGGTCACGTGACCAAAAGTTGGGCACTTGACAACCAAGCATGCATTTACAATAGTTGCAGTGTTGCAGGGTTATGTAATCCCCATTGGTGCCAACTGGTTTTCAACAAGCAAAGCCAATGGGGGAGGCCAGATTTGCTTAACCAGCATGCCGTTTGCTTAACAACTATGGCAAAAAAAGGGCGCAATACACCTGTAATCCCTGACTTACGACCACAACTGAACCCAAAATTTATGTTGCTAAGCAAGACATTCGTTAAGTGAGTTTTGCCCCATTTTATGACCTTTCTTGCCCCAATTGCTAAGGGAATCATTGCAGTTGTTGAATAAGGGAATCTGGCTTCCCCATTGACTTTGCTTATCAAAAGGCCACAAAAGATGGTCACATGACCCTGGGATTCAGCAACCGTCATAAACACAAACTCTTTGGCAAGCCTCTGAATTTTGATCGTGGGTATGCTGCAACGGTCGTACGTGTGAGAAATGGTCATAAGTCAGTTTTTTTCAGTGCCATTGTGACTTTGAACGGTCACTGAATGAATTGTTGTAAGTCGACTGACTTAATGGCTGCCTTGCTTAGCAATGGAAATTCTGGCTGAAAATCAAGGACTATCTAGACCAGGGGTAGGCAACCTTGGCTCTTTTATGACTCGTGGACTTCAACTCCCAGAATTCCTGAGCCAGGTTGCCTACCCCGATCTATACCATATTCTTACAGCTTTTCAGAACCCTTTGTTCCAATTAATGGAGACACACAATAGCTCACACTGATTTTTTTAGAATTTCATGGACTGTCTCTGATCTGAAGACATCTGAGATTATTCCTGAGAGCTGTCACAAAGACGCAGATTCAGATTTAAATGCTAATCACATTTCATATCTTAACAATAGGATGCTGATAGCTTCAGCCAGTTTTCATTATACCATTGCAATTTCTCTTTAGGCTTATGATGAAAATGTGCTGAACCATGCAGGAACCACGTATAGTTAACATGCTAAGCTACAGTGGGAATCAGGCTTTATAAGCACTGACTTTTACAAAATAATCAGAGCAGTAAATATCAACAGCAGGCAACCTCATATTTTCAAAGGAAGTAAATGCACTTTTACTGGATGCATGAAAAGTGACTGTTCCAGTTTATTATGTGAGCAACAAAGTTGTAAGGATCCTAAAAGTTTATTTGTCTAAAATATTTTCAATATTGCCTTCTTTAAGGGTTTTTTTTTTTGAAAAATAGTTTATTTCCTTCTAGATATTAATGATAATCACAACTATTATCACTTCCGTACCAGTTGATAATATAATAGGGAGGAACTGTTTGAATTTGCCTTCAAGATATTTGCATGAGCCTTAATTCTAGATGTTAGTCTAGATAATGATAAAAATATGATCCAGTTTCACTCTTATATATATGTCTAAAGGCTTCTTCAGTTAATTTCATTGTACCCATCAGTCCAAGCAAGTAATTCTGAAAAGATTGTTTATTGAGAATTGAAACAAATAGTGACTATGCTGTATACAATGGAAATTACACATGAACTAAAATTTTAGACACATATAAATGTGAGACTATTAATTTGGTGACATTTGTTTTTATTTGATTTCTTAAATATTTAGAGGCAGATAATACTAAAATCTTGATGATAAGAAATATTCTGTGATCAAGAATTCTCTCTCCTCAGTGTTATTTTTAAACGTTGCATTTTTCTAGCCATCTGTCTTTTTAGAAACTAGATAAAACATCCGTGAAGCAAAATTCTACCAAAAAAAATAGCTTTTTTAAAAAAGATCTGTACACTCCAGTATCTTTAGCCTTTAGTTAAATTTGCTACAGTAGCAGTAATAGCAGACACATTAGGGATTTATAGCATCATCCCACCATCATTGTGACATTGTATCACTTCTGAAGTAGCTTAACAACATTATAAATTACCAGTGCAAACAAGCTAGACTTTCAAAGAAGCCTTTTAAAAATATTTCAGTTAAAAAATACCCCACACTAATATTCAATGCAATCTCTCTCTCTCTCTCTCTCTCTCTCTCTCTCTCTCTCTCTCTCTGTGTGTGTGTTTGTGTGTGTGTGTTTGTGTACTGTATACACACACATATATGTGTGTGTGTAAATGTATGTTTAGAGAAAGAGAGAAACACAAATTTGATGTATCACACCAATTTGATGCAAAGCATCATCACACCTACGTACATACATATGCATATTATACACACACATACACACACTTCTCAGCATGAATCACTAATCAACTAATTCTGCTATAGAAGTAATACACAAACAAAATAAACTTTTTATATTTGGCATAAAGTAAGAGAATAAGAGAACCAAAAGACAAAAAGAACTAATTAGTTAAAATAAGTTTAAATATAAAAAAAAAATGTTAGAAAACAAATTATAGAGGTTATCGGCCTCTTAGTCATAGTAAACAAAATATTTTTACATTATTTGGGGTCTTAGCAAACTTTACATATATGCTTGTCAATAATAGTCTGCAATTGATAATTGTCCTGCAAGGCAGGACAAGAAGCAACGGATGGAAAATAATCAAAGAGAGAAGCAACCTAGAACTAAGGAGAAATTTCCTGACAGTTAGAACAATTAATCAGTGGAACAACCTGCCTCCAGAAGTTGTGAATACTCCAACACTGGAAGTTTTTAAGAAGAGACTGGACAGCCATTTGTTGGAAATGGTATAGGGCAGGAGTGTCAAACTGCCAGCCTGCAGGCCGGTTGCATCATGCAGAGGCTGCGCCCACCCCATCTCCCGCAATGCAAAAAAAAGTTGCAATATGTCACAACAAGTCATGTGACACGGCGAGTTTGACCTCCATGATATAGGGTTTCCTACCTGAGCAGTGGGTTGGACTAGAAGACCTCCAAGGTCTCTTCCAACATTATTATTGTTGTTGTTGTTATTTCTGCTCTTATTTGGTTAGGTTATTTATAGTGTTTTATGTACTATATGTAGAATGTTGAGATGCTTATATTTATGAGTAGTTTGTACAATATGTAATTGAAGACAACAAAAAAAATATAATAATGAATACTTCCAGTTTTTTTCTAGTGTGGATATTTATTCAATAATCTGTGCTCTGAGGAGGCCATAAATTTACTCATTACAGTTACAATGAGGGTAATTAGTAGTCCTAAATTAGGGGAAAGACCTGAAGTTGTATCTGTTGAGTCCATTATGAGAAAATTGATATCCTGGATTACTGATTGTATAATGTCTGGTTCCCCAGCCATAGATTTATCCCAGTCAGAGATTGTACATTCTAGAGCAGGGGTGTCAAGCTTCCAACGTCACGTGATGTGTCGCAACGTATCACAACTTTTTTGCCATTGCCAGCAATGGGGTGGGCGCGCTTTCGCTATGATGCATCCGACCCACAGGCCGGCAGTTTGACACCCCTGTTCTAGAGGATACTTACTGTAATGTCAGGCATGAAAGACCAGGTTCCCATGTGAAGGTTCAGTTAAACTGATGTATTGCTAAAGCCTATGCACAGGAATCTTTTCAAACGTTCACATCTGGTTAGAGTTAAATAATGGCCAACAGCACACTTGTGGCTACCTAACAATTCTAGGCTGATTTCCCCCTATTCACTGCATAAAGCAAGCCTACTGAACCCAACAGGCCCTCTTGGAGACTGCAGATAAAAGAACTAGGAGCACACCTTAGTAGACAAAATCTCCATCCGCTCACCATGGCCTTGCCCATATGGGAGATAATTGGCTGTCAGATATGGCACCTCTTTGACCACACCTCTTTATACTCTTTGAGTCATTTGGCTATTATTTCCCCACATGCCACTTGCACAGTATTCAATTTAGTGAACTTTCTCCAGGGAGTTGACTGGGGATTACAACCTGTCTATTCACACCTGGCAAAATGTAAATTGCTTTGATCTCATAGGTGACACTGATTCTTTTTCTAGCTTTGAGCAATTGCTTAAGAAGTGCTTTGAGATGCATTGTTTAATTTATTTTCTTCTCACATGAAAAGTAGAATAATCACAGTGGTTTATAGCTTCTACCTATAATATTGTAATTGAATTGTTTGCATTTCTCCTTAAAATTGACATTTTCTAAGCAACTAGTAGATAAAAACAAAACATATGTAATTGAGCACGAAAGGCTTTGCATGTTTTTAATGTTCCTAGGAAGAAAGATGTTAAGATGATGTCATTTTGCATCTAATAATACGTTAGCAGTGCAGTGCAGGTAACATCAAATGCAGTCATTTTAATTATTTTTAAAAAGACTTTTTCAGCATTTGTTCTTAATTAACATGCAATACATTAGCTTC